AGGAACCCTACACCATTTCAGACAAACGGCTGTCCAGTCTCTTCTTAAAAACTTCCAGTGTTGGAGCATTCACCACTTCTGGAGGCAGGTTGTTCCACTGGTTAATTGTTCTAACTGTCAGGAAGTTTCTCCTTAGTTCTAAGTTGCTTCTCTCCTTGATCAGTTTCCACCCGTTGCTTCTTGTCCTGCCTTCAGGCGCAGGACAAGAAGCTATCTATCTATCTATCTATCTATCTATCTATCTATCTATCTATCTATCTATCTATCTATCTATCTATCTATCTATCTATCTATCTATCTATTTTTATGTCTATCTATCTGTCTATCTATCTGCATATCGATCGATCTATCTGTCTGTCTGTCTATCTATATCAATCTGTCTCTTTATCTGTCTGTCTATCATTTATCTTTCTTTCTTTCTGTCTATCTATCATCTATTTTTGTCTGTCTATCTATCTGTCTATCTAGCTGCATATCGATCTATCTATCTGTCTATCTTTATCTGTCTGTCTATCTATCTATCTGTCTGTCTATCTATCATTTATCTTTCTTTCTTTCTTTCTTTCTTTCTTTCTTTCTTTCTTTCTTATCTATCTATCTATCTATCTATCTATCTATCTATCTATCTATCTTTCTATCTATCTATCTAATTTGAATACATTCCCATTTTACCCCGGTGACTTCAACAGGTCTATTATCTGTGGTGCCTCATTTTCTCTTGGCAAAATTTCTGTCATTCTGTAAACCCATCATAAAGGATTTCAGGACAGTCTTTCCATCTTACTTCATCCTTACGTTTCTCTTTTAGCTTACGTCCATGATTACCTGAGCAGCCCATGTTAACTGTAGTTTTTCTTATGTCTATGGAGATTCTCCATCATCCAGGTCATGGTGGTCCCGGAGGTGCTTTTTCACGAGGCAACTGGACTTTTTTTTTTTCTCTTCGCTTTGAAGACTTTTGACTTCTCATCCAAGAAGCTTCCTCAGCTCTGACTGGATGATCCTGCCCTTCCTCACCATCCAGCCAAAGCTGAAGAAGCTTCTTGGATGAGAAGCAAAACGTCTTCAAAGAGAAAAATAAAATCCAGTTGCCTCGTGGAAAAAGCACCTTTGAGATTTTCTTATGTTTTCTCTGATCTCCCTTAAAAGAAAATCCTCGTTTTCTTCACGATCTTTTATCTGTTTGACATTCTTGGTGATTGGCGTCTTTGTGTTTTCCAGGTTGGTCCTTGAAGTCTGAATTCATCCTTTGTATTTGCCCTTTTTGTTGGATCTGAACCCTTTGTCTTTCACTGGCCATCCTCACAGCTTCTTCTTCTTTTTCTCTTTGAAATCTGAGGAAGGTTTTTTTTCCTTTTGTTTTTTTGACTGTTTTGATTTCATGACTTTGACTTCATCCCATGACTTCTGGGCTTCTCTTTTATATATATACAGTATACTGTATCTGTTCCTTACATTGATCTGAAATTCTGACTGTTGGGTCCTTGAGGTCAAGTCTTGTTGGCACATGGAACTCTGTTCTCAATTTTCTAAGCTTAACCCACATATTTGACACCAATAATTCACAGTCCATTCCATCGTCTGCACCTGCAACTTTGCAGGCCTGACTGGATTGCACTCCTTGATCTCCTGTTTCCCATTATGTAGTCAGTTTGATTCCAATGTTGCACATCTGGTGATCACATGTGGCTGGAAGGAGGAGGTATTAGCAATAAACGAGAAATCCTCTTTACAAAACTCTCTTGACTTTGACCCAATTCAAACCATCTATGCGTCGGGTTTTTCATTTTTCTAATATTTACCCTGATATAATTTTGCTTCACATTTTATTTTATTTTTTGCAATTTTCAGTGGCACTTCTCCATGCCCTCCCCCCCTGTATCTGCATTCAATAAATACGATAGTCATTAATTTTAATCGATAGGATCCTGTCGTTTAGCAAGCACTTATTCAACAATATTCTTTTTGAGCATATGGCTGCGCCCTTCCTCTGTATAATCTCATGCCTTGAATATATAATTCAGCCAGAGTCAGTTGGTTGAGTTGGGCAGCCATAGAAATTGAATAAACCAACGAACAGGAGAACTACGGTTATCCATTCCAGCTCACTCAAGTTCAGTTATTCCTAAACCTCCCATTTCAGATGTCCGTGAGTCACGCTTCTCACATTCAATCAGAATAGAGCTGGAAGGGACTTTGGAGGTCTTCTAGTCCAGCCCCCTGCTCAAGCAGGAGATCCTATACCATTTCAGACATGTGACTATCTAGCCTCTTCTTAAAAACCTCCAGTGATGGAGCGCCCATGATTTCTGGAGGGCAAAAGCTGTTCCACTGGTTAATTGTCATCACTGTCATGAAGTTTCTCCTTAGTAACTAGGTTGCTTCTCTCCCTGATTAGTTTCCATGGATTGCCCTCAGGGTCACCTGGATCAGAGTGTGAAGGAGAAGAACCTTCTTGGGACTGCTGAAAGGACGTCATATCCCTCCTCCTCCTCTGTTGAGGGAGGGCTGTTCATGTTAATGTATATCTATATATCTATATCATCTATATCTATATCATCTATCTATCTATCTCTATATATCTGTATCATCTCTATTACCTATCATCTATCTATCTATCTATCTATCTATCTATCTATCTATCTATCTATCTATCTATCTATCTATCTATCTATCTATCTATCTATCTATCTATCTTTATATGTCTGTATAATCTGTTATCTATCATCTATCTATCTATCTATCTATCTATCTATCTATCTATCTATCTATCTATCTATCTATCTATCTATCTATCCTTCTATTCCTCACCGTTCAGTCAGAAGCTTCTTGGATGAGTCGTGAAACATTTCAAAGAAAAAAAAACCAAGAAATTCCAGTTGCACCTTTTAGTCTCTCCCCAGAGTGAGCGTAGACCTAGAGCCAAAACTACAGTCTTACTCTTACGATACACAGAACATAGAAAAGACGGGTGCTTACCGCACTCATGAGGGAATCCAGGACACTAACCGCAAAGGCGGTCCCGCACGCAAAAGGCTGGGTTAGATACAATTCGGTATCCGGGTCATCGTCATCATCTTGATCCAGGAACTGGACGTTGGAATCATTCACTGAAAAGAAAAGGACAACGTATCCGGGTCTGATATCTGATATCTTTTACACGCCGTAACATGAAGAAGAAACACAGCGCCTGGGCAGAAAGTTCCGTGCCTTGAATGTTTACATGTTGCTGAGAACAAAATTAAAATGTATGTGGAATCCGCCTTTCGGGGGGAAAAAGAACATTAGTTTGTCTTTACGAAAGGTGCAGATGTCAAGAGTAGGAACTCTTCGGTGGCCTGAGTCAGTATTATTTGGGATGTTTCCCAGAAGTCCTTGACCATTCATTTAGCGACCGTTCAAAGTTACCACGGCACTGAAAAAAGCAACTTAGGACCATTTTTCACATTTAATGACTGTTGCAGCATCCCCAGGGTCACATGATCAAAATTCGGAACGCTTGGCAATCGACTCGAATCCGAGGGCAAGGAGAGTGCAGCAGAGGCAAATTCAAAGGAGGTCTGTGAGGCTGTTGGTGAGGAGGCCACCCCATCCCTCCTCACAAGAAACACCTGGCTTGGACTGATTTAACCAGAGACCAGGGGAGGGTGCCTTCATCGGGAAGAATTCTTTGCTTTGGCACACACTTCCCCAGCCTCTGTAAACTCTGCTTCTTTGATGTCAGATCGTGTTTCTGCCCTGTGCACTCTGAACCTTGTTTGTGGACTGTGGAACTGGCCTTGTGGACTTTGAACCTTGTTT